GTATTTGGTTCTATCAAACAACAATCTTTCTGGTCCAATACCAAGAAACATATGTTCCAACACTAGCAATTTGGAGCATCTGATTCTATCAGAGGTTCAACTTTTAGGTGAAATTCCGGCGGAATTGAGACTCTGTCGATTGTTGAAGCAGCTTGATTTGTCCAACAATACGCTAAACGGATCAATACCGGTTGAACTTTATGAGCTGCTTGAATTGACCGATCTCTATCTCCACAACAACAGCTTGGTTGGTTCAATTTCTCCATTCATAGCAAACCTCAGCAACTTGCAGACGCTTGCACTGTTTCACAACAATTTGGAGGGCAACTTGCCCGGAGAAATTGGAATGCTGAGTAAACTTGAAATCTTATATCTGTATGAAAATCAACTGTCTGGAGACCTCCCTTCGGAGATTGGTAATTGTTCAAGCCTGCAAATGATTGACTTCTTTGGCAATCGTTTCACTGGGGAGATTCCCGTTACTATTGGCAGACTGAAGGAGCTGCATCTTCTTCATCTGAGGCAAAATGCGCTTGTGGGTGAAATTCCAGCCACGTTGGGTAACTGTCATCAACTAACCATCCTGGACTTAGCAGACAATCGCCTATCTGGTGGCATTCACCCGAGTTTCGGGTACCTTGAATCCCTGGAGCAGCTCATGCTTTACAACAATTCACTTGAAGGTAATCTTCCCACTTCATTGATCAATTTAGCGAACCTGACAAGAGTCAATCTCTCCAAAAACAAAATGAATGGCAGCATTGCTGCGTTGTGTAGTTCACGTTCTTTGCTTTCTTTTGATTTAACGAACAATGCATTTGATGGTGACATCCCTCCAGAGCTTGGTAATTCACCTTCTCTTGAGAGACTAAGATTAGGAAAAAACCAATTCACTGGCAGAATCCCCGGATCATTGGGCAAGATTCGTGAACTGTCACTATTAGATCTCTCGGGTAATATGCTCAGTGGACCTATACCAGCTGAGCTGATGTTGTGCAGGAAACTGAGTCATATTGATCTAAATAACAACTTCCTTTCTGGACTGGTACCACCATGGCTTGGTGGTTTGCCTCAACTAGGAGAGATTAGGCTCTCCTCCAATCAATTTTCTGGGGCTCTTCCTCGAGAACTTTTCAATTGTTCCAAGTTGTTGGTACTCTGCCTTGATGGCAATTCGCTCAATGGAACTCTCGTTGGTGAAATTGGTAACTTGTTATCTCTTAATGTACTCAACCTCAACAGAAACCAACTTTCTGGACCTATTCCTGCAACCATAGGCAAGCTAAGCAAGTTGTATGAGCTACAGCTCTCATGGAACAGCTTCAATGGTGATATACCAACTGAGCTTGGACAACTCCAGAATCTTCAAAGCATTCTAGATCTCAGTAACAACAACCTCACCGGACAAATCCCGCCTTCTATTGGAACGCTATCCAAGCTCGAAGCCCTCGATCTTTCTCACAATCAACTCATCGGGGAAGTCCCTCCTCAAATTGGTGATATGAGCAGCTTGGGCAAGCTTAATCTCTCGTGCAACAAGCTTCAAGGCAAATTAAGCAAACAGTTGTCACACTGGCCAGCTGACGCATTTGAAGGGAACTTAAATCTATGTGGAAGCCCGCTTGATCCTTGCAACAACCTTCCATCCAGCAAGCAGCAATCAGCCCTAAGCGAAACATCCGTGGTGGTGATATCAGCAATTTCAACTTTAGCTGCAATTGCTCTGCTGGCGCTGATAGTAGCCACCTTCTTGAAACAGAGGAGAGAATATGTCAAGAGAGCCAGTGAAGTGAATTGCACCTACTCCTCCAGTTCTTCACAAGCACGGAGAAGGCTACTCTTCCAGAATGGGGCTGCTAAGCAAGACTATAAATGGGAAGACATCATGCAAGCCACAAAACATCTAAGTGATGAGTTTGTCATTGGCTCAGGAGGATCTGGAACGGTGTACAAAGCTGAATTACCAAGGGGAGAAACAGTGGCCGTCAAAAAGATTTCGTGGAAGGAGGATCTTCTATTGAATAGAAGCTTCACAAGAGAAATTAAGACACTTGGGAGGATAAGGCACAGGCATCTAGTGAAGTTGATGGGGTATTGTAGCAACAGAGTGGCTGGTTTGAATCTCCTGATATACGAGTACATGGAGAACGGAAGTGTGTGGGATTGGCTGCATAGGAAACCGGTGAATATCAAGAAGAAGAGCCTTGATTGGGAGGCTAGGATAAGGATTGCAGTGGGATTAGCGCAAGGAGTGGAGTACCTCCACCATGACTGCGTGCCAAAGATTGTTCATAGGGACATTAAATCAAGCAACGTGTTGCTAGATTCTAATATGGACTCTCATTTGGGAGATTTCGGGCTTGCCAAATCACTTGCTGAGAATCATGACTCCAACACAGAATCAAATTCATGGTTTGCAGGGTCTTATGGTTATATTGCGCCAGGTAAGTTAATAGCTCAAACTGTAGCATATGATTAGAGGTTGCAAATTTTATGATGTTGAGTTGTGTTATTTTGTGTTTGCAGAGTATGCTTACACATTGAAGGCAACTGAGAAGAGTGACGTTTACAGTATGGGCATTGTGTTAATGGAGCTTGTCAGCGGGAAAATGCCGACTGATGCCTGTTTTGGTGTAGACATGGACATGGTGAGATGGGTGGAGACGCGAATGGAAATGCAAGGTTCTGATCGTGGGGAACTGATAGATCCTGCTTTGAAACCGCTCTTACCCGGCGAGGAATCTGCGGCATATCAGGTGCTTGAAATAGCACTGCAGTGCACGAAAACCACCGCACAAGAGAGGCCATCCAGCCGGCAAGCGAGTGATCAACTCATTCATGTATTGAACAACAGGATGGTGGATTTTGACAAGATGACATGACTAATGCTATCAATTCTTAAAGGTTGAAGATGATCAAAATGAAAGAGAAACTAATGGTTGCTGCAAGCTCAAATCGTGAAACTTCCACTTAAACACTCAGAATTTTACTACGTTATATGCCAAACTCCAGCTTGTTTGAATTGTTTTTGTTGAGAATTCGTTTAAAAATAGTTGTAAAGGAAATCCTCGGAGTTGGACACCTAGCTATTCTTTTCTTCTCTTCCATTTGTAATAATCCAGCATACCCGCAGCCCCTGCCTCATCAGTTTTCACTATAAAGGATATGGCTATTAAACAGAAATCAGCGAAACAAACATAAGTTCTGGCTATTAAGCAGATATCGGTGAAAAAAAAAAATTAGATATGGCTATTAAACATATTTCATACTTAAGAAACTCTGCAGCTCAAAAATCAGTGCAATTTCTTTAAATTATTTTTCAATTATTACAAGAAGAGCACTTGCACTAGCCAGTTTGGACTCAGAAGCTTATAACAAAAAAAGCAAACGAAGAAGAGTTCAACAGCCTAGAAAACAAACGCACAATCCAAAATTATCCATCACCCACAATCTGAACCAGTTTTATGAGTATGACCACAGTTGCCTGGTGCATAAGTGTCTTTATCTGATGATAGGGGAAAGCATCAATCATCATCTTCATCTGCAGTTCGTAGAAGGGGAGGGAGTGAGGGAGGAAATTTATGTCAAAACAATCCTATGCAAGCAGATAAGATATACTAACTTTAATCTTCTACTTTAGTAGACCAAGTTCTTAACTATTACTACTACAATTCATCAGCTACAAAAAAGATTTAACAAAGTAGAATCTCAAGTACAACAAAGTAATGCAGATGCTACTGCTTCCAAATCCTTCCAGCCTTTGTAATTTCAAAAAGGGCATAAGGTAAGAACGATTGCTGCAATCAGAGCAAATTAAACAGCGCCTTCATTATATGTGCATGCAGTAGTGAAATTATTCTTACAGGAATAAATTTGACAAATAAAGAAATAACATTGCAAGCAAAGGCAAAGCTGCATAACCTGGATCAAGATGAAATAAAAACACTATAGATGGGAGGTGAGCTGATAAAATTGATTGCAGATCATAAATTTTGTTGAATTTTTTTGTGGGTGATTTGATATAAGTGATAAAGATGACGACTGCTAGACCGATGGTGCGCTATGCGCAGTGACTTTACTTTGCATTTCAAATAAGAGTCAACAACCAGATAGGGGAAACATGGTAGTAAAGTTATGAATGCAAGGAAAAGGGAATACTGAAGTAGCGGCGCTCGTTGGCTTCCTTGGCCTTTTCGAGCATTTTGTCGAGGTCTTGTTGGAGCTGAGCGTCCCATTTCACCAGCTGATTCACGAACACTGCTCCCAGTCCCATCCCCAACACGTGCTCCCACGGATCTGCATTTCAATTTCAGTTTCAATTTCTACTCTTGTCTAGGGTTTTGAATTCGGAAAACCCCCAAAATAAAAATTTCAAATAAATAAACCGAGAGAAAGAATTCGGACGTCGCATGTAAGGGAGCTTGCGGAGGGCGTTGGAATACATCTGGGTTCCCAGCCCCAGCAGTGCACCAATCACCGTTGCGCTTACCGCCATCTCACTTTCTTTCTCCCTTGCTCGTCTTCTTCTTCTTCTTCACCTTTTCCTCGCCGTCGCTCCTTTCCTTTCTTTAAGTTGTGATTACCAAATCAAACGTCAACGCCACGTGCCTTATTTCTTTTGTTTTAGTAATATATATATAAAAGGGGGCTTTCCTTCGCTACCGCATAGTAGAGCATATAGACATGGTAGCACGAGACAAAATGACACCAACTTAAATAGATTTGAATTTAAAATTATCATATTTCATAAATTATCTCCTATATGTTTAAGACATGATAATTAGTTATTTTAAATAAAAAATTTTAATTTGTTTAAAATTTATTAAATTTGTTTAGTCAAACAAGTTATTATGTTATCCATACAATTCGATTAGGAATATATTTAATTTAAATTTTAAATAAATTAATTTTATTTAAATAAATTATTATTCGTGTTGCATGTATAAAGTTTAGTTTGATATGTTTAACAGAGATGTTAATTTTGTTGTATCATGTAACATATAGTATTCAATAAACATATTTGCATTCATATTTAAGTTATTAATAATTTAATTTATCTTGTGATCTTTTGATAATCGTATTTATTTATTTAATAATTATTAAGAATTTAGGTTTATAGGATGTGATTAAAACGCTTGAACATTGTTAGGAAGCACCGTATTGAAAATAATAATAATAGTAACTAATTAAATGGAAGAAAAAGAGAAGCCTGCGTATGCATACTGATAATGTTGTAACGTTGAAATTCAAAGGTGGAGTTAGACAAGAATTTGATAATGGGAGAAGAAGAGATAGGATGTGGCCTACCAAATAGGCAATTGTACAGGGTGAGACTAAAGCTATGTGAGTCAGTCAAAGGTCAAATCAGTTATGAATGCCATAAATATATATGGTGTGTACAACGTATTCCAGGATTCTCATTGTTTTTTCCCAAAGCCCAATATCCATCCTTGTTCTCCCTGTTTCATTATCAAACATCCTCTTCCTCATATCTAATTAAGCTTTTGTCTTTTCGTTCCGTGTTCTCTATCAACGCAACTAATCAAACTCATAACCCCCTCCTTCGGCCTTTGCTAAACAGTTATGGTTACAGGTACATGTTTTTCTTAAATATAGCATGTTACCAGCTTTGCCAACGGCTGACATTCATATGCGTATGCCCTCCAAACAAACAATCCAACACCATCCCCTTCCGTTGTTTTCGTTAACAATCCACCTCTGCTTCTGTTTTCTCTGTTTCTTTATCCACTTCTTAAAAAAAAAAACAGAGGATCCATCGGCCATTTCCAAAGTTTTCTTTTGTGCGTTTTCTCTTGTCTTCATTTGTGAGGTTGGTCTAATCCCAATCTTCCCACCCATTCACTTTACGCTACACATGGGATTGATCTGTGCCTTTGCAGTGCCCTTGGCCTTTTACCTTCTAGTTTAATGAATTCCCTATTCTCCTATCGGGCATTCTATACATGGCATCTTCTCAAGTGGAGATTGTTTCTTCTTCGCCTTTTGGTTGTGTCCACCGCCGCAAAGAACGTTGCAGAGAGAGTAATGTGAGAGCTGTGTTCGACAAGAATTTCAAAGACTTGGTACATGGCTGCATATCTCTCTCCTCCCATGAAAATTCACAAAATCAAATCCGTCGGATTGCTTCTTGGGTCACCGCCGAACAAGTCAATGACAATCTTCAAACTTTGCAATTGTTGAACAACAACCACAACAACATTAAAAACGAAGGGCCCTTAGCAATCACACCAAGGCAGTCTCGAGTTGTTCTTGATCGATGGGTAAGTAGGCAAGCTCAAGATGTGA